AACAGAGTACAAAAACAAATATCTATAGAAAATTATGCGTATATTGAAATATGTCCAAATAACAAATCAAGTAGCTCACACGTCATAAGAGCTATCCTGTTGAGTACGATGATAAAATACCAAGTTAACATATTGTACATTTTCTGTGTGTTTTTATACAAAAGTGTCAATGCAAGTCACTCTGTACAATTCCTAACCTTTAGAAAAGAGGACCTTTTTTAATCCACTGCTGTGCACAATCAGTATTTGGAAGGCACTTTGCAACAGACCAAAAGCAGAAAAGCAAAAACATTTAGGCCTAAATACTCAATGAAAACACCTTTTACACTCGAGTACCAACATGAGTGAAACAAAACAAATCATACAATCCTAGTAGAGAACACAAACAAAGGAACATTATTTCCTTACAGCATCTTCCACTTCTTTTTAATCAATAATAAAAACAACCCTTATCACCTTTTAAAGGAGTAAATACTAGTGCAGAGTGGATCAAAAAAGGAGAAAAAACACTTGGTCAGAGACTTGAATCGTGCGACTGGCAGTGTGAGCGCTACCAGAGCCCAGTGACAGAGCGGTGAGCAGGGAAACCATCGCTGCCACCAACCAGTGATCGACATTCAGTCCGAAGCTCGGCTCGCATGCCAGAACATGCAGTTTACACTTTCAATCAAATTGCCATAACTTAACATCCCTCCACATGATGGACAAGAAAAACTAAATCTATATATGTACAGGACCACCATGACAAACACTGCTCATATTGGTTGGTTCATATATATTTATATATATATTTATAGAATGTGTATATGAATGGTATATACACTTGTTACAATCACAAAATAACCATAAATAATATAGGAATGTATTGGATTTTAAGAGGCTAAATTATGCACAAATAATAATTAAGCAAAGCAGGAAACACAGAATATAACACAGAAAAAGACACGCATGTATGTACTCTTTTCTAACCACACACAGACACTGCTAGCTACTGCACTGTTGGATTGGGTTTTGCGTCGTAATGCAGATTTTTCAACATAAGGAAAAAAACAACAGACATTTGGGATACATGTTAATCACCTGATGTGTTATTTCTGTGAGAGGTCAATAAGATAAAAGATGATTGCATTTTATTCCTCAATCTTATCCTTTTCGTTTGGATCTCTTCTTACAAAAGACACTGATTAGATTTTCGGACTGTGATGGCTTATTTTGTGTTTCAGTATATACAGAGGAAGTATGAGTCTGTAAAGCGTCTGCAATTTCGATTCTGATTGTTTAACCAAAACTATATTCATATTAACTAACAGGGAATTGATCTCCAGACCTGGTTTCTTCTTATCAGTAACCTCCAATCGGACTTCTTAAGATGCAAAACTAATTCAGCAGCCTAAAATTATCCTCTTTACAGTGGGGTCAAATTACACAAAGCAAACCAGAAACAGGGGACGTTTCAATTTGAGGAACCATCCAATCTAGTCTGTCCTCATTACAGGAATATCTTTGTCCAACATTTTGAATGAAACACAATTTGACTACAAAAAATGGATAGCTTGGATGTAGCCATTAGCGCAAACCCAAGACTCGTCTTCTTCTAACAGCACAAGTGTATCTGACAGGATGTGAGTGAGCAATAACTAAAAGTGCAGGCGATGAAAAGGAAGGCGCACAAAGAAAGTGAGCTTAATAACTTGACTATAAAACTAGCATTTTGTTTGGTCGGTCCAGAGGCTGGTGGATCAGGCTCCTCCTAACCCCACCAGCTGTTGCACAACACACATCACCACACATTTCTATTTAACATAATTTAGAGTGAAAAATTATCAAAACAAGCAAATCACAAGATTTTTGATTGACAATAAAAAAACAACTGTACACGAAACCAGGGCATGAATAAGTTAATAAAATATAATCTACATTTCTCAAAATATATACTGAAAATATATACCTGACCTTGGTCCCTGTTGAATGTAAACAGCTGATCAATGACTAATCACCACAGCGTTAAAACATTGTTAGTGTAGGGGGGATACAAAGCTCATCCCTAACAAGCGCAAGGCATGTTTCCAGACACATTTTGCAGGTTTAAATACATTTTATCCTTGGAAAATGTATTTCATTATCTTTTGTCTCCAGCTTTTTTTAAATAAATAATGTTCAAATGTTCAAATCAGAAACGTACTAAGAGCTTTTGATGTCAAGCTGCTAGCAGATTTTATTCATTTAGATTAGAGATATCTTCAGATCAGCTATGGCATCAGGGTATATACTGTGCTCTGTGGTTAAGACTTATAATCGCTCAGGTTAATAGTGAATAGAAACACCAAAGGCTTCAAATAATGAAAAAATATGCTTCTACCAGCTTTTTTAAAGACTTGGATATAGAAATACAAACTAAAAGAAAGAAATATGAGGTGCTATTAGAGCTTTAAAATCAGTTTGTTCCCCTTGCATGTCGTAGGCATTTCAATTTTCTGTTAGTACAAAGGGTTGGTTTGCTCTCTATTAAAATCTCATGATGGTTTAACAATAAATTATAAGCTTCGTGTGGGTGCTGCAAGAGTTCAAATAGGACGTGATTAAAAAGTGCTTCTTAGGACGGACACGATCCTGCTTTTTAACCAGGCATTCTAGAGGGTACGTCACATTCATTTCTGACGACCGGCACAACCATCAATGCAACAGACAAAGAAAACGTGAAGGAGTTATCATGATCAGTGTTTCCCCTACCATTGTCTTGGAGGGGCGCTGTGCGCTATATATATATATATATATATATATATATATAGCAACAAATAGCAACTAATCTATATCTACTGTCACTTTTCACATTGAACATGTGCTCTTTTATTAAATAAACTAAACGCTTTCATTTTAAGTTGTGAGTTTAGTGTTTTTGACCCTAACAAACACCGATGCATTAATCAATAACAATAATCCACAGCTCCTCTCTCTGCTCCAGAGGATTAAAACAAAATATATATCCCAATGCCACCCAGGGCTCGAGCTTAAGGACGTCCCGTCGTCCCGGGGCCGAAAAAAATAGTGTCGGGGAGGATACAAAATAATTTTGGGACGAAAGTTAAAATAAAAATACCCTGCTAACTCTACTACAAACGGCAATGAAAATGAAACCGACTGCACGTTTTGTGTAGCACAGTTATTAAACCTCCTTGTCAACATAAACACACGCCCAAAACATTTAGCAACCCGCGAAATACACACACATGTAGCTACAGCTGTGCCGCTGGCTGTCAGCCAGCCGCCCAGCTGGCTGTGCCCGTGAATTCCTGGCCCGCAAATTCGCGGGTCTAGCTATGTACTGAGTGAGTGTGTGTATTTCGCGGGTTGAGTGATGTACAATGACAATGGCATCCCGTGGAGGAATTCTGAAATGTTTTACCGTTACATCACAAAAACGCACAGCAGAACCAGACCCTGGAGCGCCGGCCTCTTTATTTACTTACTCCTCTTCATCCCCTATGGGTAATAAGGCTGAGACGAGAACCCTCCATCGTATTTAGTCCTTAGCAATATGATGCGCCTCTCCCCATGTAGGGATGGGTACCGAGCCAAGGTATTAAACGGGCCCCGGGCCGGAATTATTAAAGACAGTGGTAACGTTAAGCTCCGACGTTATCGGACTTTTTAACGGTACTGGAGACATTTAAAAAATATATGTCATATGTATTATTGCTACATACACATTATATCGCAGTTTTAGTTTCACTAACTCCGTTTCTAATATGCAATAAGACTACAACATGCGTCTATGATGTATTTTCGAGCTTTCCAATCCAGACGAGATCTCTCTCCCGTCTGTGTGCGAGGGGGCGGGGCCGTTTGTAAAGGTCTCCTGACTGACAGACTGTCATCCTGGTTAGTGGTTACTCTGGGTTCTGTCTTCAGGACAGTATTGGATTGTTTTGTTAATCGGATGGGACTTGATTGGATTCAATATTAGAGTAATTTTCTCGTTTGTGTGTTTGTTTAATTATATGTGGCCTTTGTTTATGTGATTGAATGATTTACTCAAATAAAAAGGTTGATGAATTATCATCTAATGATTTGTATGATGTTTTATTCATGTTAAAGGTCACTTTGAATGATTTTAACTAATGATAATGTAGAAAAAGTAACATTTTATATTCGGGACGGTCCACATTAATTTCGGGACGGCTTAGATTGTATTTCGGGACGGTTCCGGGAGGATGGTGAAAAAAGTTAGTCGAGAGCCCTGATGCCACCCCCTAAAAAACCTAGGGGAAACACTGATGATTATGTGCATTTGTAGTAAAAGTACATTTATCTCCGGCTCTAACTGTAATCCTTTCAATAGTAATTCATTTAAGTGTGGAAACTTTCGGGAATGAAGCTGAAGAGAGTTGGTTAGAATAAACGTGTCATAAAAAATGCCGTGGGCCTGTTATGATTTTTTTGGGAAAAGTTAATAGATTAAAGAAGATCTGCCACCAAAATTGAGGACCAATTAAATCCCTGTCCTTAAGAAAATCACAATCCTCCTCAAAAGAAGTAGAGAACAACATAGATACATAACTCAGCCCTCTGGTTGATCTGAGGTAAATACATCTGTTTACAGCCTTCAAGAGAAAGAGGAATATGAAACATAAAAATCACTGTAAGGGCCAAAGGTCAATTTACCGAGTACATCAGAGCAGTTAAAGTGGGAGTACAGACAATTACTTGTTTTAAGCTTGCAGTAAATAAAACATCTCATGTCAAGTAAATGTTGTGCAGCTAAGAAAGCTCAATAACACACCAGCGAAGAAACAAATATAAGAATACCAAACATGACTTCAACAGATCCACATCAGATAAAGGAAATAAAACCTTCATGTCATTTCTTTTAAAAGAACGTTTTAAACACCGTGCACGCACTTTTCATACTTGGAAAAAGTAGAAAAAGTAGGAATCGTATGGCAGTCTGTGACAAAAATATAAGATACACATTAAGCGACGTAACAAACTGAAAGAGTTACCTTGAGGCAAAGTTATTCCCAAATACAGAGCATCTTCTTTGTCCTGAAATGAACGTTAGCAAATAAGTCACTTCGCTCCAAAGTCAATTCCACTCTGACCCGCCTCAGCATCCACCAGAGAAGAGGCAAAAGCAGACTGGACTATCTGAAAGCCAAAAGACTCGAGCAGAGACATGTTCTGTTGGGGGGAGAAGGGAGAGGTCAGGGAGGGGCCCAGCTCATTTAAGGCCGGCCCTGAGGTCCCCTGGGCCTTCTGGGCTTTGTGAACTCTGTGCTGGTGCTTGTTGAGGTAGGACTTGGTGCGGAAAGCCTGACCGCAAATGCTGCAGATAAACTTCTTCTCAGGGTCCGTCTTGGCTTTAGATCCCTCGGGGGAGCTGAGGGCCCCGGTAGAGGCCCCATTACAGGCCAAAGAGGGCATCTCCAGCTCCGGCTCGTCAGGTTTCTGAGGAGATTTAAGCTCGTCACCGTTAGACAATTCCCCAAATGAAGGATCGGATTCTTCTGATTCCAGATGAGGACACTTCCCAGTGTTTTCCTGCCCGTCTGTGGCAAACAGAGCATGGATAGCAAAGGAGAGTGAGACAGAGAGAAAAAAGGAAATGGGAGGAAAGGAAGGAATGGATTACGACAAATGAATTATTTAACAGGTTTGTCACATACAATTTTAATCCAGTAGTTTGTTGGCACCTGAAATATTTAAAACATTTGACTGGAGAAGTTTAGTGAGAAGGCACCTGGTACAAGCAGGGCAGTTTACATCAATTAGTTGACCAATCAGTTGTAAACCAAAAATGTGGCCACAGCTTTAAACTATACAATCATCCATCTCAGTCCATTTGCACAGTGTCCACAGACTGCCGAGATCAGCCAGCCAGTGGGCCGCGCTAGCACCAAGCCCCCGCCCACCCACCCTCCTGCTGGACTATACTGACCTGCAGCAGGCCCATGGACGGGGAAGCCAGGCACCCCGCCAGAGCGACAATCCCAGAAATACGGAGCCCCACCTGCCTTCCCCATGAGCTCAGGCTGCAGAGGGCCAGGCTGGGGGAGCACTGGGGGTCCAGAGAGCCCATGAAAGCGACCCTCTGCCTCAGTGGAGGTGAGAAGCAGCTGGCGACTGGCGCACAGGTCTACACAACACCCGGCCAGGGAGAAAGGAGGGGGGGGGGACATCAGAGGCCGGCGGAAACCATACGGACAGAATTACCTTATTTTCATTGATAGTACTTGAAATGCTGTTGGTGAACTAACCGAGACAGGTTTTCTCCTTTCCCTTCTAGCAAATGCCACATTCCTGATTCAAGTAGCTTGCGGTGTAATTAATTACTGAAACAGCTATTAGATATTTGCAAAAATCTATAGGAAGAAAATCCTTCATATAACTAAATATTTTCTTTTATAAAGATCTATAAATTGTGTGTTAGATTGTAAGAGCAAGGTTATGGAAGACTAATGCCAAAAAAGCTATTTGAGATAATCGGCTTTTTGTTTTTAGAAAGTTAAGTATTTCTATATTACTTCCTGTGGACATTTATTTTTAATCAATTTATTTTAAACAAGTGCACAGCGGACAGAGTGCGCAGACAATAACAAATAATTTAAGCTATTAGCCACTTTTTAAGTTTAGAAACTCATGCGTCTTGTAACTTGTTTATCATTATTATTATTATCAACTTGGTGTATTTTATGAGATGCAAAAATGTAATACCAAGCATACAGCAACTAAGTTATTTCCATTACGTATGGGTATATTAACTGCTACTTTGCAAGCTTGCTCACAAAGAAGGTGTACTTTTATTAGTTATTGGTGTCTCTTGTTTCTACTCAAATATTCAGTCTTTTTCAATTTCAGTAATTAGCTTTGCTGGAACATGAGCAGCACTTTGATAACTGCTGAGATAATACATATATATATATGTGACGTGCCATTTGACAATCAGTTAAACTGTCGCATTGCTGATGGAACAATAATTGATATCACTGCAAAGAGCGGTGTGTTCATTTAGTGATACTTATACCAGTGAAGGATTGGGGGGAATAAGCAGAGAATGAGGTATCAAAGGTCCTCTAACCAGCCATAATCTGAGCACGCAGATAACACCAAAATGCTGCCCAGAGGACCGGCGGCCATTGCTTAGTGACATGACATATCAAAACCCTGCTGGCAAACAATATTGATTTTAACATTCCTGAATTCAAAGGAAATGTACTGATTCCTAAAAAGTTAATTTATTTTCACCTGCAAGGCCAGAAGGTTCATTATTTGTATTCATGTATTTGTTGTGTAAGAGAAAAACTACAGAGAAACATTTAACATCAAAAGCTAAAGGTGATTTCTCAACTTAATCCCAAATATGGTGGTTATAAATCCTTATTGATTAAACGATATTACCACTACATAGAAAAAGGCTTGTAGATTTTTTTGAATACATAAAAAAAGGAAAATTAATACATATTTATATTTGTTAATATTTTGTTGATTGCAGATGGAAAAAGTGATTAATTTCAGTTGTTTTGATAGTCAATGTCAGTTTGGGAATTAGCCAAACAGTATATGTTTTAATCGCTGTACACATGAGCTTTTCTGATTATTATTATGATAACAGGATTTTAGATACCAGAGCAATTCTACAGATTTAAATATTGTCTTCCATGAAATCAACTGTGGCTCACTGTATTTATGGTACTGATTTTACAAAGATGATGAATTCAGGGCAAACGGAGCAAACTATGACACTCATGCAGCACTATGCATTGCTGAACAACTGCTGATGGACCAGCCAAACAGAAACAGACACCATATGACGCCATGGCCATGCTCGACAGACACACACCAAATCAAGTGACTTTTTACTGCTCCTACATGCAGAACTGTCAACTTTGAAGTCTCCAGACAACGTCTATGTGTTAAAATACTGTGCGTGAAGATAGGCACTAAGAATTTGTCTGCATTACATTTTAATTTCCCGTTCAATAAGTCAATTTTTTTTATAGCTTTTTCACAAAAGCGTGTGGAACAACAGATGGATTTATGATATATAACTAAATCTGCAGATTACGAGAATAATTAGAAAAATTCCCTCAGAGGTGAGGAACACTTCAACTTCTATATGATTACCAAAGGAAGGTTCTGTATATACAGCCACCACCTGAAAGACATTGACAGCTAGCAGAAAGACAACAAGCACATGAAATTGCACCAATAGTGTGAGCGCAAAGCTTGGCAGCAGAGGTTGTGATATGCTTGTGCTTTATACCAAAGATGCAGCAGCATGTTTCTCCAAATAGCAGCAGAGCAAATGAAAGCCAGAAACATGAAGTTTTGGGATGGGGCGGGCGGCTGCTTGCCTTCCACCGAGCACTGGCGTCCCATGTGGTAAGGGGTGCCGTTGTGCATCTGCAGCTCCCCCCGTGGTTCAGGGAAGACGTGCATTGTGGCGGAGGGGGGCAGTGGAGAGCCATGGTGTGTCTTTATATGCACCTTAAGGTAGGACGCAGTGGAGAAACCTGGGACCAGAAGAACAAAGAACAAGGCAGTGGTTTGACAAACTCAAGGCCTTGACTATGTCGAAGGGAACCCTGGCTATTTGTTATTAATGATCTGACAGATACCTTAAATGGTTTGACCAGAATAAGTCTTGAACACTAGAGATTACTGTAGGGGGTGTTATTTCTCAACATTGAAGAGCATTACTTTTCTAATAGACAAGACAGCATCAATCTAAATTCCAGTTTAAAGCAAACAAAGGGAGGTGCACATTAGACATGTCCTTTAAGAACCAATCATAGTACTTTTTGAGGCATGTGCAGGTCCACAAGATGTCAACACCAGCCAACGGTATTGGACTCTGTATGAACAAGGTAAAAGCCATCTTTCTGAAGGATTTGTCACATTCAGCATGTGCATTTCAACTTTCCCACAGACCAAACAAACAACTTATAATACATATGTTGTACACCTTAATGCAACCTATCCCTTAAAGACACAACAATAGATTTGAGGGCCACCATCAAATCAGGTAGCACAGGACCCTGAAATGAGACAACAGACCCTGGACAAGGCTTTAGTAAGTCTCAGGGGCTTCCTCCTGTGTTCGGCAGAAAATAGACAGAATTGAGGCGCCAACACAGAGACATAGCAAAGCCAGTTAAATACCAAAACTGGATGTTACACATTTGTATCCTCTGAGCAACGTATGAGTATGTTGAAGTATTTTAAATGACTACCTTTGTTGCAAATGCCACAGTAGTTATGCGTCCCTTCGCTGTGTTTTTTGAGGTGGTCTGTCATGTAGGCAGCACGCAGAAACTTGCCGCAAACCTTGCAGGGGATTTTGTCCTCATGGCATGCAAGGTGTGACCGGAGGCGATCTCTTGTAGCAAAAGAGGCATTACAAATCTGTAATATAGAAATTGGTAAGACATTAACACTCAAATATCATCTTTTAAAAAGCATCACTAGCTTTGACATGAACTGACATATAGATCCTGATTGTTACCTGGCACTTGTGGGGTCTCTCTGTTGTGTGAACCTGTTTGATATGTCCATTCAGGTGGTCTGGTCTGGAGACAAAAGAACAAAAGTTATGTCTGTGTTGTCAAGATATGAACCATTTCTAAGATATTTCTACACAGCTCAACGTGCGGTGTCTTATCATAAGCATCCCACCTTTCAAATTGTAGGAAATAAGTATTAATTACTCAACATTAGCAAGCATGTATTCATGCACTACTTTTGTGCAAGTTTATAATCTTGTGAAAACTCCCATCTATTACCAATTGTTAGTAATTCATGTCGGCTTTGTGAGCATAGAATGATGTCCACATTGTCATAAATGTATATTTCGAAACTGTCCCTCATCTCATTTTTGGACTTTTTGCTACATCATTACAACAATTTGAGAATGATTTAGCCCATTAGCTGCATGCATTTTAACCTCCTAATCAGTAGGTGGTGACAGTGAGTTTAAAGCAGGGCCTGAGAGCTGGGAAACTGGTTTGTGTGGTTGAAGACTAATGACTCAGACCACAGGTCACTGTAACGGATGTGCAGCTTTCTAGCAACACTAACCAAAATGTGTATGTATGACAATACTTAAGAGTGTCAGGGTTTGCAGTTAGTGGTCTTAAACTAGCTAATAATACAGCCTTTCACTCAGACCCTTTCAGAGACTGAACCCCAACCTCTACTGGCATCAACACACAATGACTTCTTATTGCTTAACTAATTTTGCTGTGTTTGGACCTAAGATCTGGATCTATTCTAAAGTTTAAAGTAGCATAATTTGTATTTCTGTGTATACCTGAAAAGCAGATTAACCGCTTTCTGAACAGCAAGGCTGTCAGCTTTCATTAGTTTCTGCTTTGTTGCAAATATGTGGTTTTACAGTTTTGTGATTGTGAGTACTCACGTTATGCCTGCTAGTACTGTCCTTTAGGTATTATATACAGATACACAGAGCTGCATAGTAACAAACAATGTCCAGGTAGGGGGATTTAATAATTGTGACAGCAACACTGTACAGGAAATGCTGTCAATGTGAATAAAGTTAAACTCACCTTGAAAAACCTTTACCACAGCTTTGGCACACATAAGGTTTGCCGACCGAGCCGTCATGGGAGCGAACATGGTATGACATCCTGTCCTTACGTTTGAACCGGAGTCCGCACACATGGCATGCGTACGGCTTCTCCCCGGAATGGGAGAGCTTGTGTCGGTTCAGGTGGTAAACGTCGCGGAAAACTTTACCGCAAATGTCACAGCCAACATGCCGCCTGGTCCTCTCCCGTTTGCGACCGTTGTCCAGCCCTCCGTGTAACTGCACGCCGTTTTCCTCCAGAGCAGACGGAGACATTAAAGAAATGCCGCCCGCTGTTGACAGGCTGTCACTGACGTTGTTTACACCGAGGTGTGCTCCGTGTTGCGCTTCGTGGTTCTTTAACCGGGAAGCCTCTGTAAACGCTTTACCGCATGTCCCACATGGAAACAGCCCAATGTCTTTTGGAGTGCTGTGATTAAAGTGTACAGCCTCCATAACCCCGCTAGCTTTCTTTGCTCTCCCCCGGTTTCTTTTCGACCCTGGGGATGCAGCGTCGTGCTGGAACGTGTTCCCCGGTATTTCCGTTGATGGGGAAACGGACAGTCCATCGACAGGCTCCAACAGTGGCATCGAAGGATCGCCACCGTCCTCCAATAACACAATACGGGGGTCTTCACTCCCGTCCACATGCATCTGTGCATTGTTAGCAAAGCTTTGCCCGTTCACCAGCAGCCCCGTGCCGTTCACCAGATCCTGCTGCGCCACCGGGAAACCCAGCTCCGCGGCCGCTGTGGCCTGGAAGAGGCTGGCGTCTCCTCCCCGCGACGTGGGGACCATGATCTGGACGTTTGATTGTTTGATTACCTCCTGACATATCTCAATAACGGACCGCATCAGCAGGAACTTGGCAGCTGTCATCAACTCCGGGAAGCACTCGAGTCGCACCACGATCCTGGAGGTGTAGGCGAAGTCCAAAACGTCTTTAAAAACTTTGGGGCTGATTGTGTGCATCTCCAGCTCTCTGGCGTCGCCTTCGCCATCCGTCTGGCGACTGAATACCGACTCGAAATACTCGCTGCACGCCGCTAACACAGCTTTGTGTGCCGGGAAGCTCTCCTCGCCGACGCGTAGGATCACATCGCAGAACCTGCCTCCATCTTTCCTCTGAACGTTGAGGTTGTGTAGCATCTCCGCACTGTGCTTGCTCACCTGATAGGTGTACGAAGAAGTCCAAGACGGCTCCGCTACCTTCTCCATGCCGAATTCATCCAATAACAATGGTTGTTAGCGTCAAAGGTCGGAGAAACAGCAGATTCGTGTGTGATGTCTCGAGCAGTTAGCTACAAAATACAAAACCAACTGCCCCTCCCCGTCGTTTTAGCATCTAACGTTAAACGTTAGCAGTAGCAGCGGGGGAAAATGGCAGCCCCCCAGCTTCCTGTGAACTTTGACCCTGGTTTCTTGAGGGGTGGGGGTCGCTCTTGTTCGGTGGAAAATATTTCTCTTGGGTTTGATATTGAATATGTTTTTTTTGTTGTATTTCTCTCTTTGTAATGACTGTCAGAGGAGTAGCGCCCCAGCAAAGCAGGGGCCTCTCGCATCTTCTTTACAAAACGTTAACACGCAGGTCTCTTCCTGTCTGTTCTGTTTATAAAACCCCTCCCCCAACCAAACAGTAATACCAAGAGGAAAAAACCTTCCTCTGTACGAGTGCATTCTGCAAGCATCATTGTATTGTACAAGTCACTAGAGTCAAGTTGTGGTTTGACGAGACAAGAAAATCAATGCAAACGCTCGATCCAGCATTATTGTAAAAATTAAAATAATGCTTCAATAAATTGAGATTTTGGGCTTTTTGAACAGGGTTCAGATCCACTTGTTAGTGTATATGTGTATGTGTATATATATATATATATATATATATATATATATATATATATATATATATATATATATATATATATATACACGTATGTGTCTATAACAAGATAGAGATTACACTTGGTCCATTCCCATCTAAGGAGGGGGTGGGCAGAATATTATAAACTTAACCCGAGGTGTGACACAGGCTAGAAAATAAGTGAATCAACACCTGTCAGTATCAACACATTCTGAACACAACTACCTTCACTGAGATATGCCTTATTGCAGCCCATTGTATTGAACTAGATTAAGGCTGCAACAACTAATTGTTTTCATTATCCATATTTAAAAAATATATAATTTAACCTATAGTAAAAAAGGTATTACCACCACAGGTGCACAGAGGCAAACATGACATTTCAAATATGCTGTTTTGCTTGGCCAAAAGTCCCAATACTGCAAAAAAAATTAAAGAGACTGAAATACACAAAAGTTGCCAATTATGTTACCAATTATGTTTTTTGTCCATTTATCAACTTACTGTTTCGGCTCAAGACTTGCCTGATCAAACAGGTTTTTGAAGGAGATGCCAATGGAAAACAGATCACGATCACAAATATGTTCATTTTTTAAGTAGACAATATTTCCCTTTGATATTACTGCACGGACATGCCCTTTTGACCCAAATGTGTTCCGATGATGTAGAATCTCAAACAAGCCAATACTGGCTTCCAAATACATTTTTCGCACTCTACATAAAACATTGCCAAACAACCAAGTAACTTACTTTGTTAAATGTCTTGAGCAGCTCAAGGATAAGTGCAGAGTACCTTTACATTCAAGCAATAAGTGGCTCATTTTGATATTAGAAAGCGAGCAAGACTACTTTTTTGTATTTCTCCTGTGCATTTGACCAGTCTATTTTCTACTGTCGAGCACGTCTAGTTTGTACAGTTTAGATTAACACAAAGTGGCCACTTTGTTATTAATGCAGCGGTAGTCTGATTTTGTACTAAAATACATTTTTACTAAACATGTTGTAACAAGCACAACAAGGGAAAGTCCCAATGTATGCGAGAGCTGTTATATATTGGATTGTACACGATACCTAACAAAGTGGCCACTGAGGGTACATATATCGGGAATTCAAAATCATTTAAAAGAAAAAAGCAAATTGTGTTTACTGAATTTATTTATTAATTCTATTTGTGCTTTTTATAACTTAATAGCACATAAACAAACTGAATCCCAACCACCCTCAAAAAATTGACAATGTGAGCAAATGCTGCTCCCCTCAGTGACAGGATGGATGGGAGAGGATACAGTTTAAACGGAAGAAAAAAAAAAAACACAAAGAAAGGCACAACCAGCGCTCGCTGCATCCCGCGGAGTTGTCTTGAAACGCTCCAGCCAGTCACATCTACAGAAAAGGGCCACTAGCCATGCCACAAAAGGGGAAGAGTATACACTGGAGTTACTCATCAATCCAACATGTTTCACTAGCAGTAGCCCTTCCTCAGTGCAGTTCAAGTTGGACAAGACAAAGGAATGCTACCAACTCTTGGGGACTCTATCCTGCAGTTCAACTGGAACCTGTGAGAGACAGTTTCACCTTCCCCATTTCAAGAAAAAAAAAAAAAAAAATCTATATACAGGGAGAATAAGGTTCTTTCCCATGGTCTGTACAATTGGGCCTATACATTATTTACCGCGCAAAGCCTAATACAAAAGAAAAATGTTCACTCAGTCGGCAAAGCAAATGGCCATCACTCGTCTTCCCTTTCCTGCAGATAAGCTTCTTCAAAAAGCAGTGACTTCAAGGTTGAAGACAAAGCATGGCATGGTTAGACTGTCATGGTCTGTGCACCGTCATTCAAATTAAAGTTCACATTTTTACGATAACGAGGAGGTGGAGACGGGCAAAAAGGAAAAAAAAGATCTTGCTATCCAGCAGTGTTTATTTTCTTATGGCCGGAACTCCAATTCATCTACGCTTATGACCTTGGCCGGCATGGAAGGGAGTGGCTGTTCCAGCATGTCTGACCCAAACCACTGGGCGAGGCCTGGAGGGGGAGGGCCTCCGTGCTGCTGGGGGCCATTTGTCCGGTGAGGGCCATGGCTCTGTGTCTGAGAGCCTGGGACACCATGATGCACTGCAGGATGAGACAAAAACATAGATTAGTAAGTAACCTAAAATAAAAGGTCCGGAAAAAAGTAAAGAATGTTCCAGGATATATATATAAATATAGGCTAGAATATATATATATATATAGGCTAGAATATATATATATATATAGGCTAGAATATATATATATATATATATATATATATATATATATATATATATATATATATATATATATATATATATATATATATATATATATATATATAGGCTAGAAATGGGATATATATATATATATATATATATATATATATATATATTTGTCCTGGAACACTCGTTACTTTTTCCCGGACCTTTTATTTTAGGTTACTCCTGTGGCAGTTTTCAGTGACTTATACCTATGAGGGGAGGTAAGGCTGCCACAAATACATGCCCACACTCAGTCGTAACAATTGACTTCCACTCACTTGGTCTCTGTTGCTGAAGCTGCATTGCTGCTAACTGCATCTGAGTATTGGTTCTGGGAGGTAGAAGGGGATGCCCTGTTGCACTTAGAGGGTACAGCTGTTGTCCAAGCAGGGCAGGAGGCAAGCCTTGGAGTTGGGCAAGGTCAATGTGTTGTGGGAATATACCTGGTGGGAACAAAAAGAGTCTTAACATCATTTTATTTACAATTAAGAATAAAGTACAGGGAAAAATACAAACCAACAATTACCTGCTTGAACAAGAGCAGGTCCAAGCTGCTGGGGCTGGATACCTTGTGCCAGCATCCTTTGAACCACGTTTGGGTGGAGCTGGGGAGGAGGGCGCGCCATCGGTACATGGGGGAGCAGCGGTACCGAATAAATAGGACGAGGGAAAGATGAGGGTCCTGGTGGAGCCATGCTGTGAGGATGGTGTCCAGCGGAGCCAGGCCTGAGACGATCCTGGTCCTTGCTTGGCATGTTATGCGAGCCCACCTTTGAATCCCCAGAATGGGAATTGTTCCTGTCCATCGCCTCCAGGTATAGATTTGGGGAGCTGCAGTCTGTAATCATAGAACCAATTATCAGCGTTAGTGTTGTAGAACTTTGACGCATGTTCAAATTAGGAAATGGTTTATTCGTACCTTCCAGAGAGTGTCCTGCCTGGTCCTCCTTGTTATCCGAACGACACGATTGTTCATCTCTGTTTTTCTCTTTTGTAGCGTACATTTTGCGGATCACAGATGTTGGTGTAAATGATGGAGACAGCTGTAGTAAGAAAAACAAAAATAAGTGAACAAAAACAATAATACTTGCAATGCCAAGAAGTGTAAAGGTTACAAAAAAACGGTTTGAAAAGTCCAACTTCCCAGGAGAGCTGGACAGATAAAGTGTGTGCTCACCATGCTGGTGACAGGGTTGCCTGGAGAGTTTCTTCCAGCAGGCTGAGGGCCTGGACCAGGGGAGCGAGTGACATGCTGCAGTCTGTGAAGGACAAGCACATCAGCAATAACATGAAATACACCAAGCTGTATTTGCGATTCATAACAGTTGCTGAAATTAACAAGCAAGACACTCGGCTCAATATGAATGAGTTCTTTATAGAGTATCAATATCACTGATTAGCTAAGGAGGCATTGTAAAGCTGAAGTCTGCTATTCCGGAGAAAGATTGTTCATGTCTGAAGTAAAACCCCTGTACTAGTCTCCAGTCAGTGTTCCTTCACGACATTAGCATCCATCCATCTTCTTCCGCTTATCCGTGGTCGGGTCGCGGGGGTAGCAGTTCCAGCAGAGAGCCCCAAACTTTCTTTTCCCTGGCTCCTTTCGACGCGAAGGAGGAGCGGCTCAACTCCGAGTCCCTCCCTGATGACCGAACTTCTCACCTTATCCCTAAGGGAGACACCAGCCACCCTGCGGAGAAAACCCATCTCGGCCGCTTGTGCCAGTTATTCCTCCTCAGCCACACTGCCTCATCTGAAGGCCTTTTCCTCGCTGGAAAGGTGTCGTGTGGCTCAGGGCTTCACCAACTTGTTGAAGCTTCATTTATGTTATTAATGAATGAGTGCAATAGTCCACCTTGTCCTTCATCGACTCCGCGAGCACTGCAACACTTATAAAACTGCCATATTATTAAAAATAAGTTTGTTTAAAATGAAACTCTAGCCTCAATCTATATTGGTTGCCATTTTGTCTTTAAAGAAACAAAAAAACATTTCCACTGTTGAAGAAACTAAAATCTCTTTGACGGAAACAAAGAAACTATATTCAGACCTTCATCATTTCACTTTAAATACATAGAATGCAAAATATATATATATTTTTTTAAACATACCTATTGCGAAATAATTTATCCTGTTGTTGCTTGTAGCCAGGATGGAAGGAGTGGTGGCCATGTAGAGCAAGGTCCTGTTGATAGGCCAGAGCTTCCAGATCCGCCTGATTCACCGGCATGGAGAGCGCCCTCATCTGGTCAAACGAATAAAACACTGCTGAAGGGATACTTTTCTTGAAAATGTTTGATTTTTATTATAGCAACAACAAAGAACAGAAGTTGCTGCTATGTGCAAGCTTTAGCTTGCCAGGTAAATGAAAGTCCAATGAAAATTGTTTCGGCATTAACTAGTCCATTAAACTTGAATCAGATTTCTATCATACAGAAAAAAACA